AACCCGCGTCAGGTCAATGATATTAAATCCCGATCATCTCGCCATGCCACAACATGCCACCACCTCTAACACACGTTTTATTTTATTTTTACTTCATTCCATAATGTTCCCATTTTTTTGTTTCGTGAAAAAAAACGTTTAAAAAAAAAGATGAAAAAAAAAAAATAAGTTTCGCACGTGAAAGTTTTTCATTTTATTTTCCCCTCGAGGTATAAAAATGTCGAAATTAAAATACGAAGAATTTACTCTCTTGACTCAACGTTGTGTGGAAAAACCACAGAATTAAATAAAACGATTCCAGATACCGAAGAAGACGAAGAAGATTTAATTGTTTATTAAACCAACCATCTGACCACAAATCAATCATGAACGTACGTGGAAAATGCGACCGCAATGTTTAGACAAACACTCAAAACCCTGGCATTATTATTATTATTATTATTATTATTATTAATATTATTATTATTATTATTATTATTATTATTATTATTATTATTATTATTATTATTATTATCCATGGACCGTGGAAACAACAACAAAAAAATCTTCAAGACGCGTTCCTCATCAACCAACCGAATGAATGGGTACCATTTTCTCAACTCACGCGAATGGGTTAATAACATTCATTTTAAATTGAGTTCAAAAACTCGGCAGGTACCACCACCACCAGGACTGTTAAATTGCGTATTTTTCTTTCTTTTCTCTCATTATCGCCATCTTTAAATAAATCGTTAAAAATCATTTGGGAAAATTCACGTGGCAAAATAGACGCGAAAGATAATATTTTGTTTTTAAAAAAAAAAAAAATTAAACATGGCGGTGAGTTGTCGACTCATCATCTCGACTCAGCATCCATTCATTATTATTAATCATTCATTTATTCGATATTTTCCGCCACCACCACCACCCTATCCCATTCCACCCACACACACACACACACACGCACACCCCGCCTTTTAAAAACGCGAGAAAAAAATAAAAAAAAAAAAAAAATTTTTTTTGTCTCTTACTTTTCCATGAAGTGTGGCATCGTGAAGTTCATCCAAGGTAGGCCTGTAAGCTGCGTGAATGGACATGATATTCCTATAATTGTCCATCCTCGGAAGAGCTTCCCTTGTAAAATGGCGAAAACTTTTCGCATATTTTGTATCGTAGCTTTCGCTGTAAAGTCGAACTCTTTCCTCATCGTTTTCATCCCTGAAAAATCAAAATAATAATAATAATAATAATATTTTCTCCGCATCGGAGAAATCTTTTCTCCAATCGTTTGTTCTT